TCGACGTGTTTCCTGGTATTCGGCGACAATAACTTGTTTTTTAGACGGTTCGTCCATTTTCTAATTATTCGCGACGGTGTTCTTGGAGGAGAGAACGACTTTCCGCGCGATAGATGCGTATCGTTTGTAACATTATCGGCGGAAGCCCGGAATCCGTGTCGACGCAGAACGGAATCCGCGTAACCAAGGAATGCACTCAATTATGCAGGACACTCGGATCACGAGGCAGAGATATTCTAGTCGCGTGTCCACAACCAAATCGGATTCAATCGATTGCGGCCATTGCGAGAATTATCGCTGTACCCCTCCTCTCCCTTCTTCGACCAGCAAATTCATCGACGAAAGATCATTTCTGACGTTGATTATGAAAGCGTTGCAACCACCGAACAATCAGGGGGAAAATCGAAAATAATTGTTCGCTCGATATTTGCGTGGAAAATATAAAAAAAGGAAAGAAAACGGCTTCTCGAAATATTTGAACGTATAAAATTGGTTGTTTTTCTTGATAATTTGTAACATTTACGTTATCGACCGATCGAAGAAGGTGAAATTTAATTACAAGAAAAGATTCACTTATCTTTTTATAATTTTGCTGATATTCCCCTCGGGTTGATAAGAGACGGTACTTCCGTGGATTTAGAGCACTGATAAGTTTGGAACGGATAAAACTGTCGCGGAAGACCGCATAAGAATTTTATCGACTATAAAAATCGAGCGAGTCCGCTACACAGAATAGCTTTTACGTTTTCGCCTGCTCTCTTGTAAATTTTGCGGTAAATTCGAGAGATGCTCAGGCGTTAGTTCCTTTTTTTTTTTTCTGATATTTTAGAAATCGACAAGTACACGCCTGTCCGTGAAACGAACGATAATAACGGAGATAATTGAGATAACCTTACCAATATATTTTGTGTATGATAATACGCCTCGTCCGACGAAACAACACTTCCTAAAAAGATAAGCACGCGTTCGTGTCCGTTTCGTTACACCGAAAACCTTCATCCGTGTTACAAATTCGGAACAAGATTTTAATTCACCAACCTAGTTTCATTTTTTTAAACATTTGGAACAGTTTCTACGGGGTAAACAGCCTGAAAAATGTCATATCACAGTTTATTGATTCTGAAGATCAGAATTTATTTCAGACCAGGCATCTGTGTATTACAATCTTGTTAGGAAAAGTGCATTGAAGCAAATGGGGCATATTTTAATTGAATAAATAGTATTTTAAAAAAGATATGCAGACCTAATGGAACAAATAGCAATCTCTGTTCGAGGAAAGGCTGTTCGAGGATCGAAGACATTTGATTCAATTTTCCTGAATCCGTCGTTGCATGGGACGTGGAGTATATCAGGATCGATCGATCCCTTATCTGCAAAATCACGTTCGGATTACCGAGAAAAATTCGTACGAAATGATACGTTTATTTTACTTCTTTAATTTCTATCGAGAACAGGGGGGGCATCGTGATCTTCGAGCATCCGTTTCGTCGATAGAATATACCCTTTTCCGAGTCATAATCAGGGTCATGCGAGGAAATAGGAGAGCTAGAGAAAAGGAAAGAAAGATAGGAAGAGAGACGTTGAGTAATACACGATGGTGTTGGCGCAATCGAGGAATTCCTCCTGCGAGCCGAAGGAAGGAAATTGCGTTGCCCAATTAGAAATCGCGGGAGACCGCAGAAAGAAAGGCCAAGAGAGAGAGAACGAAGAAACTACGAGAAAGACGGTGTTAGAGAAAACGAGAGGGGGGGAAGGGAGTCAGAAAAAGAGGGATTTCGAAACAATGTTGTATGGAAGTACTAATTGCGAGTTGCCCCGTTCGTCGATCATCCAATTTCTTTTACGAATGCACACACGAGCGGCCGGAACCATTTTCTTGCTCCGTTTAAATGAATTTTAACGATTTTTCTGTCGTCCAAGAAGATGATTTGAAAGAAATTGAGCTATTATTAATTCGAAGGCAATCGTTCGAGTTATAGAAATTGTTCTTGCGTTGCACATACGAGAACTCACCTTGGAATCCGCTAGATTCCTCTCTCTCTCTCTTTCACTGCTTATTTCACATCCTCGTTCACCCACTTTTTCTCATTCTTCTGTATTCGTAAGCGATTACGCCACTGTATCTCTCACCTACGTTTAATCCCGATGCAGAGCCACGAAAGACGAACAGATGCAGGGAACGTCTATCGCTCCAGGAATAAAATTAAGAAATAAAACATACGTTTCGACGGGAAAAATGAACCACGAATAAATATAGAAGTTTCGACATTTTTCGGAACTGTTTATCGGACAGAAATATTTATTAACCCTCGCTAATTTTCAGGGAGCTTATTGGAAGAAGGAAGGCTTCGATCTTCAAAAAAATATAATATTTATTTTGGATAAAACGATTTTAAATAAGACATATTTTGTGTACTCTTATTGGGAAACCTGTTACGAACAACGAATCGTTTGATGACGAGGACAGAGGATCGTTTGATGACGAGGATCAAAATGGACCCCCCTTCGTCAGCGAAGGGTTGCAGAAAGACAGAAATCGAAATGCAAAGGCGAGCAGGAAACGTTCGGAATTAAAATGAGCAACCTAAAGGAGATATAAAATAAGGAGAGGAGAAAGGAGTCGAAGAACGAGGGAAAAGGAGAGGTGGAAGGAGAAGAAGGGATCCTCGGAGAGAGGAGAAGATCGAAGTGACTTCAGTCGTCCTCCCGGATGTGCAGATTATTACACGGCATTCTTCGAAGCTGTAGGATCTCCCTTTTTTCCTCCTTCGGACGATGCGTTGACGTAACGACGGCAAAACGGATTCCTTTTTTCGGACCAAAATCCTACCGCTCCGGTTTCAACCTCTCGTATTTTAAAACGTTTCATTTTTTAAATCGCTCCTCCGCTTGCATTCACATTTATATTTAAATTTATAATATATCGTTTCGAGTCATAAACGATTCGTTTTAACGTGGCACGGATTTAAAGCCAATGTGATCGATTCACCCGGAAAAGGTTTGTGAGGATGCGATTAACATTAATCACGGTACAGGTATGTGTCCAGGACTCAAGGTCGAAATCTCTTTTTCTCGAAAGAACGATTCGACGATCGACAATGAACCTCCCTACTTGCCTCTGATCGATCGAAGGAAAGATCCACCTTCGAAAGTTACTTGGTCCTTTCCACCCTCTCCGGGGACCTATTAAATCTTGGATTCGAATTTCAAACGATCCTCTCCTATAAAGAACCATCGGCATAATATGTTTTTCTCGAGAGAAGTTTTAATGCCAGGATCATTTTTCCAAAATGTTCTCGAAAGAGAATGTAAATTAGAAATAAGTTAAAAAAGAAAACATACATAAATAATAATCTTTGTTATTACCTTGAAGACCAATCGAATACATACTATAAAGTTTATGTAAATACCGCATATATACGTATGTATATTCCTCAATGCAATTTTTTAATAAAGTTAGTTTCTTTAACGCGGTTACATCAGAAGCGAGCGGAGACTTTTAGAAAAAAGTATTGTTGCCACGTCAGAAGCGACTCCGCGTTGCAAAGGGTCAAACATGCGTGATAATTTTTTGAATTTTGCTCAACGATTGACACAACCTAGACAATTATTTGTTTTTAATTCTCGCGTAAATTTAAATAACAGCAGTTCTATTTATTGTTGTGTAAAATAAATAGCCACAGGATACGGGTATTCGTTAGTGAATATTCACGGTTGACGACGACTTAACCGATTTGATTGGCGTTTCCTTCTTCCTTTTTTTTTCTTTTATTTCCTTTAGATAGAATCTGCAGAAAGGAAATCAAAAGGTGGAGAGAAAAGATCGGGCATAAGTATCGGTGGTACTCATAAGCCAACCAGGATATAACAGGTAAAACAGGTTTGTGGGCGTCCAGAAACGTGGGCTACCTGCATTGGTTCTCGGAGGGGTCCTTCTTCAAACTCGCCTGCCGATTCTTGCAGAAGAAAAGCGAAAAAAGAGGAGAAACACGGCGCCTATGCACCTGTTCGTTAAGTGACGAGTTATTTCCAAACAAATTATTACATATCACTACGACGATGCATCGTTGACAACGTTATTCAACGCGTTTCATCCTATAGAAATAGATCAAGCGTCCATCTTTTATCTGGGAATATCTTGGAACGAAATATTAAATAATAATTTCCATAATAAATAAACAAAAGGGAGGAATCGGTATTATGAGACACAAATACGTTTTTTGCTGAAAGTGAGTCATTAAACTTTTTACATTTAAGATACTTATATAAAGATCCAGTATGTACTTGGTTATCTGTATTTGTACAGACGCAAAATGTTAGGTTTCTTTTTCGTTCAATGATGCAACGCTGTATTTATGTAATCTGGAAACTATAAATTATCATTTTTAGATAATTCTTGTAGAATTTATTGATTTCTTAGTAATTATACCGTTTCGTTTTGCTCCGGTTAGAGGTACTGCAATACTCTCTGTTCGCCTCATTGATATTTCATCGATATATCATTAAATATCAATAAGGTATCGGTAATCAATAATCTCAACTCTACTGTAAAAGCTTAGGATACTTTTTTTTTATCTGCTCTCTCGTGCAAGGTGAATATAATTTATGAAATGAATATTACAATGTGTATTTTTTTTTTAATTTTACGCTTGTGTAATTTCATTTTACATGATGAGCATTCGAATTGTGCGCGAGGGATTAAATTCCTAGACTAATTTGAATAGAAAAAAAAGTCGATCTTTTGAAAAATCGAAGACGGAGCGCGATTTAAAGGAAAAGCGAAGGAGGCGAGTTGGGAAAAAAATGATTTGACCTCCAAGAGATATTTGAGCTCGCAGAGAAGCAGGTCCGCGTCGGGATCGCGATTACGAGGAAGCTACGAGGAAGTCGGTAAAACCCCCACTATCTTCCCATAGCAGTTCCCACTCGATTACAACGCTTCGATTATTTCCGTTCGGGCCGTATAACCGACCATCTATCTATCCTCTTTTGACTCGACGGTTCGTGCGTTTCGGTAGTCCATTTGTCTCCGTTCGTCGAACGCATAATACGGCGCGGCAGGCCGCGCATGCGCGGTGACGCGAATCTCCAGCGGCGCTGGCGAGAGGAGCGGAGTGTGTGACGGCAGGCTTTCAACGGTGATCGCGACTCGCGGTTCAGTTGCTTACTAGCTTCGAGGTTGAATGGGATAGTTTCGTGGTGTACTCGTGGCTTTTAAAGAAACGCGAGGCTCAGCGAATCCGTGTCCGTGGTGAATGGAGATCCGTTTCGCGTTCCGTAATCCTCCACTAGTCCGTCTACCGTTCCCCTGCGAATCTCTGTTAAATTCGTCTCGACAAGACGCGATTCCTCGAGCAGTGCCGCCGACAGTGATACACTTTGCCGCGTAGATAGTCACTGTGTGACATACGCGTACATGCACGGGGATATTTTGATACGTCCGATACGAGCTACCGTTCTATGGATACTACCGAAAACCGATATTACCGTAGAAACGTCTGAACTCCATCATCACGGATTTACTTGTGTGCGACGATAAAATCGAAAAGCTCCATTGTCGTCGGAGGATACTCGAGTGGACAAGATGTATAGAAATAAGTACATATAAGTAGGTGCCAAGAGAAGGAGAGAGAAAGAAGAAAGGCGGAAGAAACGATACACGTGCGCGTGGTCGGTGTCTCGAAGATACCTGTGGATGCCAGGCTGGAGTCGCGACGTATTAGGGCGCGGATTTCTGCCCGATGACCACCGAGGTGGTTCACTTCTACTTGCCAGCAGATCCTCACCACTGATATTACGCCGCATTAGACGATTTATCTGGCAAGCCGTGATCGAGGTAACGATCTTTTTCTCTTACTTTTCGATTCTTTCCTTATCTCGGATGCCACGTAATACCGAATATTAGATACGTACTCCAAAATTCACGGATCCCCGATCTTTTAAACAGATTTCACCAAAATACGATCGATTATTTTACAGATTTCGGACAAATTTATTTCACAATCATTACATAACTTTTTGGTTATAATTCCTTTATAAAATCGCAAAATATTTTGTAAATACATTTTACGAGTCTATAGGGACATTTTCCGATAGTTGTAAATGTTACATTCAATCTCTTTGACAGTACTACAAAGAAAATCGAGTTTTATTGTAATTCAGATTGAATTCCTTAGTTTTGAGAGCTTAATTATTCAAACCACGTGTACCTTCCTTTACTAGCTGTCGACAACGTGACTCTCATTATACAATAAATTACAAGCCAATTTAAAAAAGCGTCTAGATTCGATTTTCGCGCCACTCCAGATCCAATGGTAATTTAACCAATTCATTTTTTCAGTTAAAATATTAGTCGAAGATTTACCTCAACATCATCTCGCAAATTACTTCCTCGTCAGAAAATTATAATTTTATTTATTATTACAAATTTATTTGCATGGGTTTTGTATGGTTCTTTAATTTCCCGAGAATAGCAATAAAATGGAAGGCATCGTAAACACTCGAAGCGACCGTTTAATTCTGGTCGCGAGTACACGAGTTCCTGATTTCCATGAAACGAAAAACAGATGGTATTTTTTATTGGAAAAGCCCCGTTCGAGCATTGGTTTTGACAACTTGATCGAAGTCGATCGGTTTTACTTCCGAGAGGAGACTCGTTTAACCAAAAGCGGCTCCGAAAAAACGATTTTAAAGGATCCGTTTGTCGCTGCGAGAAATTAGTCGGGTCGATAAGTCAGTGTGTACTTGCTTATCGCCGTCGAGCCATGCCTATCGAAATGTAGGCGCGCTGTAAACAAAATTCTTCTCGCGTTGTATTTGTTTTATCTCCTCTTCCACTTTCCAAACAAAGTTTCAGAGACTTTTAATTCGATCGAGGAAGCATTACTGAAAATACAATTAAAAAGAAAATATTCGGGGTAATAACAGCCATATTAAGAAAGGGGGATCGTTTTCTTTGTTCGACGAAGTAAAATGTCAGCGTCGTGCATGCACTCTCTTGAGAAAAGACACAAATATATAAATTTCTGCGTCAACATTCTTCTGTTCGCGATCGGTAGCCAAATTTCGTTGGAACGAAAATAATTTAATTGATCTTTTGTCTCCCGACTGTGCGAAGAATTTTATACGACCGTCCCTCTCTCGATTCTCTCTTTCTTCCACTTAACATTTGCTTGCGTACGCGCGCGCACACACACATATAGATATGTAGGCTGTGACGCGACTATGCCGGAGCTGCTGTTGCTTACGCTCCTTGATCGTTATTCAGGAAGTTGCACGTTATCATTTACATAACACGTGAGCTCGAACAAAATCATGCATAATTCCTTCCTCCTTAGCGCGACCGCGTTACAGTTTCTCTCTTTACCTTTCCTTTTTTTCCTCTCTCTCTCTCTCTCTCTGGGAAAACGAAATCTTTCGCCCCCGCCCGTGTCCAACAGTTACCAAATCTGCGCCGAGCAAACGCCTTGTTTACCCACACAGACCGACCGTAGCCAATCATTTTTCTCTGGCCAGAGTCAAACAGGACGATGTATCACGCTTTCTTTCGAAATACATCGAAAAATTTCCTTGAAAATTCAAATTGATTGATTGAAAAAAAAAATATGTCTTGGAATATTTCTTGCTAATTGTTATTAAATATTTCCTATCGGATTTATATCCGAGCTTGAGGAAAGTGTTTTCAAAGTGTGTACCGTTTAAACGATCCATCGACATACACAATCCAATTGTGCATGCCATATGTGCAGGTGCATTATCTTATTGAAAGTAATAGTTTGACGGTAAACTCAATTTTCCTGTACTTTTTCCTGAAATTTTCATTCAAAGTATTCAAGTAAGTTTTTACATTAATTCTTACTTTTCGAAAACGGTACCGATGCATTGCTGAAACGAAGCCGATCAAAACGAGCCCAAACACGGCATAAATCAGACTACGTTTAATCTAATTAAAAAATTACAAAATTTCAAGTTTCATCGGTCTACAAACTCTTAAAAAATTCTAGTTGAACGTAATAGAGAAACAGAAAGCAAATTAGCAGAATCGTCCAACGTTTTAATTCGAAGCAATTACGCGTGTTAATATCGTGGTTGTTAAGTTGGTTAAAAGCGACCAGATTTATGCAGAGTTTGGACTCGTTTCAATCGCGAGAATCGCAGCAATGCGTCAGTAGCATTTCCAGGAAGATAAGATGACAATTACGGAAGGTAAAAAGTTTCCTCGTCGCGCGATTATTAGCTTCTCGCGTTTCCTTTTTGTTTAATCGATTCTCTTTCCTTCTCTGCTGACTCGGGTCTCCTTCAACCGTGCTGATTTTAGGGAAATTCGACCGTGCAATCGTGTGTATCTGGAATGAAAAAGAAAAGGAGCGCGGGAGAGCGATGGAAGAAAGACTTTCGAAACGTAATTCCAACCGGAAGAGCCGAGAACCCGGAAGCGAAGGAGGAAGCACTACGTTGACAGAATGGCGAGGGGGTGGAAAATGTTTCTTTGAACCTCGAGGGAGGACTCGATCGATCGTCAAGATCGCGAACGAAGTGTCGACGTCGAACCAACTGTAAATTTCTTCCAGCTCGTTGTTTCGTTATTATTCCGGAATTTTGTTAGTATCATTCGTCGCTAAACACGGGATAAGTCTCGAAAACTACTTTTCCTAGTTTTTCTGTTTATTTATAGATAGTTACGCGACATAATCGATAGAGAAGGAAGATGTTGCGAAATCTCACGCCTCGTGTATTTATTACAACAGTAACTTTTAAAAGAAGAATTTGTTGTATGAAACAAGCACGTAACGACACTCACATTCCATGACCTCATCTGGCATAGTGATTTTCACGTAATGACTTCTTGCAACGATAGGTAATAATAAAGCGAGTCAAAGATCGTTGTCTTAATCGCGGTAAAAGTTGAGAGCAACGATTCTTTGGCTATGTGGAACATTTGTCGTTGTCGTGGTTTATTTATGGTGTCCGGTTAAAAGATTAATGGATAATACAACGGTTATAGAGAAGTGGAGTCGAAGCCTTTGGAATAGTAAAACGATCTCGAGAAATTGCAATACCTTTTCGACTATTAGCCTTAATTTGTTACGAGCATCGCGAAGGTATTGTTCTGCTATGGTTTAAATTATTACGTCGAATCGCTTTATTCGAGACAGCTGTGAGTTGCAAAAGGGAATGTTCTCCGAGTAGATTTCTTTTAAATTTCTTTCGATTAAAAGGAATACGTCGAGGGACAAAAAAATATCGTACGTACGGAATAAGCGAATCCTTTAACGAGCATTTCAGAAAACTCTTCCGTCTCTGTCCGCCTTGTCCGCCCTTTTTCCACCTCTCTCCCTCTTCTGCTTCTTCAGAGAAGAGAACCGGTCCGTATCCGTACCGGAAGCGCGGACTTTGGACTTCTCTTTTTCTCTATCTCCGTCTCCGTCTTTCTTCATTCTTTCGAGGAGCGCTCGTATTCGATCTTCGTCTCTCCTTCCCCGTGTCCTCTCTCGTCTCTTGCTTCCTTTTCCCTTTCTCTTCTTCTCGGTAAACCGTATCTGGAGAGACCGTTCCTTCTCTCTCGTTTCTACGGTTAATTCCAAGCGGGAGCAAAAGGAAGCAGACGGTCGCGATAGATGGCATCCGGTTCCCTTCTTTCGAGGAAAACTCCAGGAGGAAGTCGCGTTTAAAATACCTTCGACGATGTTTTATCGGTTCTTCCTACTTCTTCCTTCGATCCTCCAAGTCTACAAAGTCCCTTTCAAAACTATAATTTTTGTCCGGAAAAGTTCCTCAGAAAATTCGAACCTCTTTCACTCGTTTCTCTAAAAAATGAATCAAAACTGTATTAAAAATATCCCCAGGTTTGCAGAAGAGTTTGCGAACCATTTTGGTCTTTCGTGGCAATCTTCAACGAGTCTGATGCAAGAACTTTAACTTGATTAACAGTTATTCTTCAGAAGATCAATTGATCATTCTTTAATATTAAAAATACATTTTGCCTGAAAAAGAGGATCCAGCGTATGCAAGGAGAGTAAACAGTTTTATCAAAGAGGCAAATGGTTTTGACGTTTCGTATCGATGCCTTTTTATAAATATGTACGAATTTTATTATGCGAGTACAGCTGTCAGTTACAGCATTCAGAGTTATGTCTGGTGTCCACGGGAGAGTTTAGCTCTTAAGAGTCAACGGTTCTTTCACACAGACACGTGGAGAAGGTGGCTTCATGGTGGATGTTGCCTGCAAGGTCGGCTCCCACGTGTCCGTGTGTAAGAGCCTTTAACACTCGAGTGGATACCAAGCATCCAGACCTGCTGAAAATTTTAAACGCGTTTTTCTCAAAATGATATTGTCATCCTTAAGCATACGTGCAACAGCAATAAAGTTTTTTCCTTCGGAGTCTGCATCTTTAACATATAAACGACGGTTGGTTACGCGTCTGTTGGTAAATTTTATGTGCATACGATGAAAGATAGTTTGTGTTATTAGCGAGAGTATAGTGGTCTGCGTGGAAAACCAGTTTAGTGTATTTTGAGTAGCACACGATGGCGTAGTACGGTAGTTGTGGTGTTTTTATCTAGAGACCACTGTCGTACCAACTTTTTTCTGTATTAATTCAATTTGCTCGATGGAATTTTTTTTAATTCGCTCAAAGAATTTAGAAACTCGATCAACGGAGTCTGAACTCTTTGGAGCACACTGTTTGTTTATCAGCTATGCTTCCAAGTAGATCCGAATCGTTGATCCTTGATCCTTGTCGAACAATCGAAATAGTACTCTAAAGGTCCTATTCTGAGATATCAGATATGCACGTTGGTAAACATAAGGGGTTGCAGGCTACAGGTGTTTGAGCT